AAGTATATATCAATAATAAAAAACGATTACATTTGGCGCAATCTCTAATAACTGTTAAATTTAAAGCAATCTCTAATAACTTAATTTTAAATTAGATTTATTCTGATCTCAGTAAATCATCGACAAAAGAATTTAATGAAATAATTCGAGAAAATTTTAATCATGTGGTTAATGACAAGAAGTTAAATGAGGGAAAAAACTCTAGTACTTTTGAAGATATAATCAATTCAGAAAAATCTCCAGTTAGTGAACAAATAGAAGATGCAGCCAAGTTCATCCATCGATTTCATATAAAATTGGAAGGTGATGGAGTTTTCTTCATAAATGGAAAATATTTCGATATGGATGAAGTAATCGGATATTATCAAATTAACTTATTTGGCACGTTTATAAAGCACATGCATTTTGACTAATTATACATTCTATGCATAAATTCAGAACTATCAACGTAACATGATTCAAATGATCAATGAGTACACAGTATTTTTGCAACAAAGAGTATGATCAATTAGATTTACTTAAAAGGCATCATTTAGGCAATATATATGTAAATGATTTGTTTTATTCTGTTTAGGTCTACGTAGGAGAGATCAGTGATATCACCGACATTTATGATTATTTTATGACCATGCCGGGTATTCCAGATAGAAGAAATTATTATATTTTTATATCAGATTATCAACCTTTAAATGTAGTCAATTTAGTCATTGATAAAGATTGGAATAATGTACCAATTAACAACTTAAAATACGTCTATTCTGGTAAGACATCTTTTTTATCAATATAACCAAATTTGGAAAACTCATAAGATTTTTTTCCATATTTCAGAGAATCAAACTGGCGAAGAGATTCCTGTGACAATATTAATTGTTTCGGATTTCAATAAAAAAGATGGTGCAATGCAAGCATTAGAAGCACTAAAATTTTTGGTATGATAAAAATGTGCTGCATATAAATTTGGTCATATAAATCAACTTGACGTTTATAAATCTCTTTTTGAAGGATGCATCGCCAAACGTACGAATATCCTTCATTCATAACCCATCAAACGATACCGGTGACAGTATCATGTCATCAATGATTTATTATCTACTATATGAAGTTGCAGACTTACCAAAACATTTATCACTCAAGTCTGCGTTTCAAGAGTTTTTAGATAAACTTTCATTGGAAAAAAATCATGTGAAAGATGGTAATGATGAAAAACAAATCCCATTTGGAAAAATTATAAATTCTGCAGTATCAGCAGGATGGCAAATGGTCGATAATTTAAAGGCTGACAAATATTGGAAAGATATGAAACTATTCATTAAAAATCAGCTA